TCGAATTGGAGGTGGTGATCGTACACTCAGTTCCATTACCTAGTGGTCTGAAAACTGAATGACTGATTTGACATCAGTGAGATGGCCATTTTCAACTTTGACTTCCAAGTCATAGGCAGAGGTGTTCCCTGTGGAGAGGGTTAGTTGCAGGTTCATAATATGAGGGATATATGGCAGACATAAAGGCTAGTGTTAGCCACAGTTAAAGTTGGCATGACTGTTCAACAGCACTAGTGTGGTAGTAGTCACAAGATAAGGGTGTAATCATGACATATTAATTCGGCGAATGCCGCGAAACAACATTGAGTGTAACTACTAAGTATTCACAATATTAATGGCCCTGGGCCGGGCACACTACCTGTACCCTCCTGTACCCTTCTAATTGTTTCACATTTTTCATCTCCTATTGATCGTTCCCAAGTACTTCTGTTGTATGCTCGCGCCGGGAGACCTCTAAAAACCCAAAACACTTGCGCAGGACACATAATGACATAACAGACGACCCGATCGTCTGCAAGCTCGCGGTCAGAAATCACGAGAGACACGGGAGAAAGCTAGATTGACAGTGGAGGATGAACCGGAAGCCATAGTAGTAACAACTTGAACAGAGACGAGCAATTGAGCACAACCAAACAGCTGGAGTCATGATGACAAAGCTAAAGTCCAAAAGAGATTGTGGCTACCGGGCTGGTGTGGAGCCGTCATGATCGAGCTCACGGAGAAATTTTCTGGGACCTGCCACCAGTGTACCCTAGAAGAGGGTACAGGGACAGTTGTCAGTCCCTGTACATATCCAGCACGGAATCGCTACTTTGCAAGCTATTGGTTACATCTGTGAAACTATAGTACGTTCACCGTGACCTTGTACCACTTGACCGCTTTTTCCTGATCTTGAGCTGCAGAAACCAGAGGTCTTGGCATCAGTGAGGTTGAACAGGACTCTGGGTTTGGCGGTTAGCCTAGGTAGTCCTACAATTGGTAAGTCTCGTCTAGTAGTACTGCTTCCTCCTCTCCTCCTTACAGTGAGGCAGGCTGGTACAGCCGTTTTGCCCCGAGCCGAACTGTGGAGTATCATGCCCTCATTCCCTCATATCTACCTGAATTATTATTATTTATATTCACACATTACATATCTAATTCTTTGTCAGGTTGTCCTTGAGGCTGCACCAATCCCCACCATCAAATCATGGCCCCATTATCTTCATCACTGGCCGAACTAGTAACACCAGATCATCTCTGCAATGTGAGTTCTAATTTTTTCATGATATCTATTTCATTTGCAAGTGTCGCTCAACGTTACGCACATAGTAGTAGGTCCATTCACTCGGCATATGGCCCGATTTTTTCAATCTTTCATGACTCTGAATACAACCGTCTGCACGTCAGTCTTGTGGGCAAATACAAGACTGGCATATCGCTCTATACTACTGTTACTATGCTACATCGATACCGGCACTCCAATTTAACGCGTTTCTGTGAGGTTTCCAAGTTCAAGCCTCTTGCTCCGTGAGGCTGGCCCACTTCTGTCGGTCCCTTTGATCTCTGCTGGATTGAGTAATGTAGTATCAGCAATGCAATGTCCTTTGTCCACCTGAGCTGCTCACCTTAATCAAAAACGCTTGTGGTGAGAGCATCAATCTGCTCTTTCGTCAGAGTCTCAAATAGTGTTACCATGTCGTCATGCTCCGCAGTAGCATCGATGATTTTAAAATCCGTATCTTTGAATGCTCCGCTGGACATTTCAGTCAATGCCCACTTGAATAAAACACTTGTATAAGTGTACAACGGTTTGAGATTCCGTTCGATGCCAATGAACTTTCTGTACTGCTTGTCGTGGAAAAGTAGCTGCCGAATGTAATACTGCAATGCTTGATGCGCAAAAGGGATATTAACGCGTTCTCCATTAACCTGGAGGAGTAGCGTGTGAATCTCAGACAAGAAATAAGAACAAAATGACTAACAGTGATGACGCCTCGCAGGAAGGCCTCGTTGATGAGAAGGCTACCGACAAATTCCTTTATCACACCCTTTTTCTCTGTATGCAGTAATTGATGCAAACCGTACCCCCAGAGTACAGCGCTGCGGGTTAAAGCCTGCATATTTTTTCTAATGGTGACAAGAGCGCTACACATCTTGACGATCTCGTCCTTGCCATTTGTCATTTTGGTCCAGGCGGAAAGTTCAGCTACAGGTCATTGTAGCACTCAATCAGTAATCGGAACAGCTCATGTTCCAAGTGGACCTACGGCTGTTGCGGCACACTTTGTCCAGGCAATCGGTTGCCATTTTTTTTGTAGCTGAGTCGTCGTTCGGTAAGAAGGAGCTAGCGAAGATTTTGCACTTCAACCGAAACAGTGCCACCAACTTTGCTTGAGTTAAATCAGCAAGACCAAACAGAATAGAGGGCACAATTTGAGCTGAGGTTGCTGGTGCAAGAGATGGTGCAGGAGATGGCGCGGGAGATAGCGCAGGAGATGGTGCTAATGGTGCTGTTGGTGCGGGGGGCAGCACATCCAGCACAGGACTTGGAGATGGGTCAAATGATGCTGCACTTTGAGATGTCCCTTCCCGAGGACTCGGAGATGGACGATATCGGCGTGGGATGGTGTACGGTGCATGACAAACCTGGGGAGAAAAAAGGCGGGGGTAGTGGATGTTATCGATCATGGGATGCAAGCCTGGTAATGACTCTGGTTCTGCGTCTACCCGGTCACTGGTCATGATGGGGGTGTTGAAATCAAAAGCCCTTTGCATGTCCGAGGCGCTACACCCAAAGGTGCTGTGCAACCAATCAAATGACTGGTTGGGATCAGAGTCGTCTTGGAGAACCATTATTTTGGGCGATGACTGGCCTGAGCCATCCTGAGTACTGTGCTGGTGGGGGGTTCCATCGTTATACATGTTGCAGCAACCTAAGCGAAAGGGAAATTCAGAGGAAGAGAGCCACTAGCAGATATCGTCAAAAGGATAACGAGCATCAACCATGAGATGGATAACAAGTGTCGATTGTCGGATGGATAACCATAACACTTGTTATCCACCCGAGGGCATGGCGACTGATGGTCCTGACAGCAGTGACCTAGCCTTGACTCGGAGAGGGCCCGGCGCAACTTGGAACAAGAACTTACAAATGTGAGGTTGAGGCCGGCTGAGTCTAGTAGTGAAGCTGCGGCACAAAGTTTGATTGAAACCGCTTCAAATTTTTTAGCGCTACATGAATCGTACCTTAGATCTCCCGGGAGTCAGACTCGGAATTGCTCAGTGCGTTCGTGGCAAGAGCACGCTTTGGTCGAGAGTTCCATGCATGACCGCATGGAAGCTTTCCTGTATGGTCTGTATGACCAATTGAGTGATATTAAAATGCGATAGGAACAGGTTAATATGCAGCGCTAGCCTGAGATTTGTGAGTCTTTCAATCCCCGCCGGTTCATTCGACACCCATCACAAGTCTCCAGTCTCGGTCAGACACTATCATGCGGAATCCTCAAGTTTCTTCTGTCCACACCCATCCCACTCCTCCAAGCTCTTTCGGAGACTCTAGTTACGACCATGATAGCAGTGATGAGTCTCAAATTCTCGTCCAGACTCCACCCAGTTCTCCGCCTGACCTTTCGAGTCCACGTCACCGTGACAAGAAACGCAGCCATATGACAACATGTTCCATACTACGCTCTAGCAGTCGTAAATGATCACCAACATCTGGCGACACTTCCCCTGATTTAGACCATGAACTCTTTGCACTTCCACGCCCTCCTTCCAACATTATGAAGCGCCTGCCTAGCTTCGCTCTGCATGCGCAAAAAAGGTTCAAGCCTTACGAGCAGCCCCATGGTCTGGTGCCAAACGCATTAGAGCTCCGTTTTTTTCGAAGGTGTCTCGAATCTGGCGACAATGATATGAGTGTGGCAGATGTCGAAGGGGTATGTTAATTTGACGTACGGTATCTCAGAACAATTGACCAGCCCAACGCTAGGGCAAATCGATCCTTGAGGATTGCCTGAAACGCTTGTCTCAGACGGTCATCGCTCAAGCTGTTGCCGCGAAGGAAGCTGACTGTGAAGCCAAGCGCATGGCCGTTCTGGGAACGGCTTGGGCGGTCGAGGCAAAGAACCGATATCAGACACTTCTTGAAATGATTGTCCAAGAAGAAGTTGAAACATATACCATCGATGCTAAGGAAGCTGCCTTTCTCCGGAGATATTTGGTTGGAAGAAGCAGGGAGGATCTTGAGGTGGCCAAGGACTTTGATGTGGGTGCATACAGCCACAATTACAGATCGTTCGCTATCGCCAACTTAACCCTGGATCACATCGGGGATGTAAAGTCGTGTGTGCCTGAGGAAGATGCTGATGGTGTGGCTATGGAAAATTTGACATCTGACAACGGCCCTCAGTCAGATGCCTAAGGTGCGAGTCTCGATATTCGTTGTTACAATATCTACTGACATGAGTATGATAAGGCGAGGGTTGTTTGTTGTCAGCGTGACCTTCGGGTTGTTGTAAGTACGGACCGTCATGACTTGGATATTTGGTAGGTGTGACTGTCATGTGTTGAATTTCCTGTATCTACCAGAAGTATAGCCTAAAGATGATTGAAACGCATGTATCCTTGACAAATGATGACTACGGCCTGCCGTCGGAAGCTTTCTTGGGCAGATTTGACAATGTTGTGTGCGTGTTGCTTATTGTTTTATTTCAGATATTGAATATTTTGTCAAAGCAATCCAATGACAATCCTGACCCTCGTATTTATCATCGATTCTTTCGGGAGGTCATACCTTGATCAGACGCAAACTTTTCGACCAGGAACCTGGCGGACGTGGTAAAGCTGTGCGATCATGATGGGCAATGGGCTTGACTGAGCGCAACCCTGAACATTGAACAGGCGATTATTAAGGCGCATTGACTCGGAGTCTTGCCCTGTTCTTCACTAGCTTCACTTGTCGCATGCGAACTCGACCAACGCTACTTGCGACCTCAGCCTATAGCTATCTGCGCATTCAAGTCGATCAAAACGCTTGTCTGTGATAAGCCGAAGACTGCCAAAACTGCGATTATGGGATCTGTCATGGTATACAACATTCCATGACGTTTTCAGCGTAACTCGGAGGCACTACTTATATGATTAAATTGTGTGAGATTCATCATTTTAAACTTCCGACTCCAAATTCATCGGTGCCGAAGCTAAACTTGGCAGGATCCATTTTAGGCCACGGTCGATGGCTCAAATCAGTTCTGTATCGAGTCGTAAGTAGTTAGCCCCGGGCAAGATGCTTACGATCATTATTTGCCCAGCCTTTCTCTCTGAGATTGACAGCATACTAGTCGAGATGATTTGAATGTATGGTGAAATCCTTCGTCACGTTTATAAAGCTGTGGTGAGTTCAAATATTTTGTTTTCTCGCTATATCCGGTGACGCTCTCAGGTTGCAGTCTTCTATTAACTCTATGGTCAAATCAATTACTTCCGCTCGTCAGCGTACTCGTGCACAAACCGCAGCTTTCCTCCTTGGAACTCGTCCGGACCTGCCCAGTGTCGGGGCCAGTGAGATCACTCGCATGTGCGCGGTCCGGCACTTTTATGAGCCAATGACTCAAACCCCATCATTAGAAGAACTCACCGCACAACAGCCTTGCCAGGTTCAGCTCGACAAAAGTACGTTAAGCATGTGTATTTCAGGTCTGATGAGATGCTGATCATGTCGTGTTGCATTAGTCGAGTTTAGAATTCCTTTACACACTCTGGATAGAAACCAATCAACTACTTATGTGGACCGCTCTCACTCCGAAGCAGATTGCCGCATAGACATACTCGACTCAATTAAGGCTACGATGGATGTCTCAAAGACATATCAACACTTGGGGTGGCGTTTGTCTACCGCCCGCCGCTTAGACCCACCTCATCGACTTTTGACATCGCATGATCTTGATAGCGCTTTCAAAGCTGCGAGGACGGAACAGGGATCTGGCAGGAAAACTAAGCAAGTTTTTATCGAAATTCTCAATACTGTACGTGTTTGGATGGTTTCAAGCAGTCTGCGGCACAACGTGACATTAACTTGCAGGCTCGAAAAGAGAGGCAAATACGACAACAGGCAGGTACATCTCCTGCGGGCGAGTACAAAAAAGAGTTGGCAACAGTCACAAGTAAGTTACGCTGCTCCGACCATCAGCTTGGAGAGGACACATTCTGCTGGGTCGATGCATCTCATCCCGACGCTCCACACTATTCGTTGTGCACACGGGACCTGCAGGAGTGGGCTAAATATTTGGTGCGTGCACGTTTATTTGCCTGCAAGGATACGGCATAATTTATGTTCTTGTGGATTTTAGTATGAAACTGGAGTTCCAGACTTCGTCACTCTACCCAGGACACCCCATTTTAATGAAGTTCGAAAGACACGTAAGGAGCGAACTCCGTTGTCGCTCCAGAGGGTGTCCACCGAAATCATATCACCCGTCATACATAATCATATTCACCTTTCGCCCACCACCGATGAGATGACCTCTGGTAACTCAGGAATGTTTGCGAGAGAACGAGGAGAAGCTCGTATGGCTCTCCAACCGCTCAAGAGGACTTTTGCGCTCTATATGGAGAGCGATGAGGAGTCCGACGACGACGACGAGCCGCAACATATTGAGGACGTCCTTAGGACCGTCCATTCTCATTATCCTGCCATGAACTTTCCCCAATATGTCGAGAAACTGATGGATCACGGCATATTTTATCTGCCTACAGCGGCTCATTTCAGTGTTGGATTCTATGAAGAGAAAGTCGGGATGTCGGAGGGCTCCGCATATACCTTCCAGAGCTGTGTTTCCAAATCTCACATGAAGGCCGAACTTGCAAAGGAGAGAAGGAAGGCTAAAGGAAAGAAGAAAGCACGAGCCCATGATGGCGATGAGAATGAAGAAAATACTCCCGCTTCTAATGGTAGTCAAAGTAGCATTTGATCGAACGGTGCGGTTCGCCTCGCGTTTCCATTTGACTTTGTGCTATTGTTTACTTGGTATTCCAGAATTTGTCCAATGTAGCCTGCTTTGCATTCCGCAACTCCTCGCGCTGTAGTGTTGCCGGAGTCTCGTCTGATTCGTTTTACAAAAACCTTCACATCTCTCCTGTACTAGTAGTTTTGCTATCCTCTACTCTTCCTTCTCCTCAATATTAATTCTCTCGCTGTTAATGTTTATTCGCGAGTCTCTTGTTCTCGCCTTACTATCACGCATCGACTCTCTCAATGTTAGTTCTCTCATCTTCACCCGAATCACGTGTTAATACAAAGGTCTGAGCTATTTGGCTCACACGTTCAACGTTCACCGATTGCTCAAACTGCACCGTGACAACCATATTCGTATTGTGCATTATTTAGGTTTTCACGTACTACTACTGAAGCTTGAAGCATTCTGAAGCCCTCACACAGTTCTCCACTCACCATGAGCGTACATCCTCGCAGTTCTCAGTGGTCGTCAATTTTGCTTGGTATCCTGGGGCATCATCTAACTTGAACGCTCCAGCTTATTGTTTCGTCGTGTCCGAGTCTGTGCGTGACTGAGCCTCTGAGTCGCACCCGATTATTGATCATTGCCGAAGCTCGTTCGTTAGACGGCAACAGCCCGGAAATGCTCGTGGAAAATGGCATCTCAAATGGCAGGTTCCTGGACTGCCAGAAAAGAAACATGCTTATGGCTGGCTACCAAAGGTATTGCTAGGCCGCTTTCAGACGAGTCATTGATCTAGACGCTAGGTCGCTTTCAGACGAGTCATCGATCTAGACGCTAGGCTGCTTTCGGATCAGTCAATGACGCAGGCCATCATTTAAAATGTTCAAGTTCTCGTAGGCTCTTTCCTTCACCCTCCTTCACTTTTTCATATCCTTTCTGCACTTCCCAACCTCCAAAATTTTTTGCTCTTCTCCGAGGCTTATCTGGTATGTCGGAATCTGTGCACGCCTTGGGCAGCCCCCAGTCTCGGCATGTCTCTATGCGTGTCCCGACCTCTCCTAGTGCTAGGGCGAAGCGACAAATTGCCTCCCTCATGGAGGAGGTAGAAGTGTTGAAGCAGGACAAGGCGACGAAGAAAAGGTATGCGCGTTTTCAATCTTGGCTTGTAACTGAAGCAGATTCGATGCCTCCTTAATAGAAAGACGACTTTCTATGTTTCGCAGGGACGGGCAATCCGTCGTATGGTTGACCTTTATGCTCCGATAGAGGATCTTATTGCTGAAAATGACCGGCGTTGTGAAGAAAGTGACAAGGATGCCACTCCGGAGTAAGCATCTAACGATGTTCATGCAAATTGATGTACTTGCTTACCGAAGTGAACAGGCAAGACCGACTTCAACGTGGCTACATCGAACTCGCCAAGGCGCTGTCATGGCTTCATGATAAACTGGCAGGTCTCGATCACGAAGAGTCCGACGACATGCTGAAAAAGGTTTTCAAAGAATATTGTCACACGTCTCACTCATTCGGTCATTTCAATCTAGCTTAAGCGAGGCGCGGACTCGGCTCGGGGCGACGACACGGGGACTCTGAAAGAACTCGTGGCTTCGTGGGTGAACATCGAGTGTTGCCCGACTCCACTCATCAGGACCGATGACAAGCACCATCGAGGATTCGTGAGTGATGCGTGTGGTAAACTCCTCTGCCCAGCGGAATGGCGCTGGGAGGACCCAGTGTATGTTATGATCCGAGCTGTCACTTGCATGCATGTTGTTAATATTGAATCCAGCGTCAAGGCTGGCATTCGGGACCGTACGACAGCTTTCATCGTTTCTGAGAATTCATGGCCATCATTTATGTATGAGAACTATGAAGCTGACACCAAGAACCTGGAGCGCGGGCTTTTTAAGTCGAAGCTGTTAGTCATGGTGAGTGACCTGGGTTCTCTAACTGAAACATAGCTCATCACATTGCAGGGGTTAAAGGCAATCTTTACTTCTCCTTCCTCTGCTCATGAAGTGGATGGTGAAGGTGATGGCGCCGACATTATTGAGAACAATCGGCGCGCCCGAAAACGATCCGATCAAGCTAAAGTAAAGACATGTGTTGCCTCTATAATAGGTATGAGGAAAGTGACTCCTCGCGCAATAGCATATGCAGCTTGCCAGGTAAGATTCATCTATGTCTCTACTAAGTGTGAAGCTGAATGAAATCCATAGATTCGATTTGCACTTTCGAACCTCACGTCCTGGCGCACAGTAGATGGAGATTTCGATTATCATATTTTCTGGAACAATGTAGTGGACTTCTTCGAGGATGCCCCAGGTCCAGCTGCGCGAGCCAGAGTGAACAAACTTCTTGAGTGGTGGACAAGGTAAGTCATCCACGTCAACGACTCCGCCTGATAGCTAGTAACTCGCTACGCAGAAAAGTTTTTGGACGAAACCATTGGCAGGACCTGACGGCGGACATTGTATCTCACATGTCTGTCAGTACGCTAGCTACCCAGAGACAGCAGATGGAGGACGCTGAATTAGACTCTGACTAGTTATTTTATACTTTTGCTTGCTTCTCGCCCTCTCCTTACTATGTCGTTACTCGGCGCATTCAGTCCGGCCCTATATCATTCCCCTGTCGCTAATGTTATCATGAATAATAAATATGATTCTCTATATTGCGAATGTGCGATCTCTCGATGAAAGCAAATTTATAAATTCTATTTATGCTGCGGACGATTAAATTATTACAGCGGCCTTTTCGATAATTTTGTATATGTATGGTAAGAATTGCGAATGAACAGTCAAGTGGCAATGGAGTAAAATGGTTCCGCCGATCTCCATAGCACTGTTAAAGCTCGAAAATTTCCAGCAAGACATAATGCTCGTTGAAAGATAAGGGAAATACAGATGCAAAGCATGACTCACTGTTGTCAATGCGCGAGCCCAGGTACTAAGTCATAGAGACACAGCGTATGTCGCAAGTGAAGCGATGGATCTAGTAGGTGGCGAAATACATGAGATGCTCGTTGAAAGATAAGGTAAGTACAGATGCAAAGCATGACTCACTGTTGTCAATGCGCGAGCCCAGGTACTAAGTCATAGAGACACAATTACGCTTTGAAAAATTATCCATTTAATGACGAACATTGAAGATTCCAAACAGATGTCTTGAAGTCAAACGGGACAAAAGTTTGATTTATCTCTCACATATTGAACTCATCCGCTGCTCCGCAAAGGTAACGCTTTTTCGCACGGATTCCCAATCTATATCTAGCAGACAAGAATCCAACACCTTGAACGTTGCTTTCCCCGTGGGACTTGTAGTTCGCCTAGCTCGAGCGTTATCTTCGCATGTAATCGATGTGTTGTTGCTGGTCAGCTAACACTTTGTCGTTTTTCTTCACCTCCAGATTTTTCCTGTAGTGTTTCGATTCTACCGCAAAATTCAATCTTCGAGCAAATTAACTGCAAGATTGCCTGCAGACCAAACGACATGTACCCGCACTACTAATAACATCATCACAGTGTTTCTCACCTTCACAGATCGCAACCTCCTTTCTTTTCTCTCTCAGTATCTGTCCATATTAAACTTCATGAACCTGGGCCCGTTTACATTTTCTTAGACACATTCAAATGAAAGAGATCATTTAGCCAATATCGTTCCTCAGCTGGTGTGCTTTCAAATTGTTGTTTCCTCGACAATGCCAAATATTCCCATGTGGAAGCGGTCAGCAGATATACGAAGATTGTTGTGATGCTGTATTATATATTACTTTAAATAACCTTCTCATTTGTTCATCGGTTCTCTGATGGTACTGTAGCGAGTCGCACTGCAACACGGCTGTGGTCGTCGACGGCAAGTATCGAGGTGCAGTTACCTAATAAAGCGCGAGGGTGTTTTTGATGATCATGATACTATGATGCCACGGATATTACATTGAGGTGGGCGCATTGCGCATGATCGGATTCTTAAGTATTTTAAGCCTGCGCACCTTGTGCACACCAGTCGTTTTGTTGAGAGTGGATACTATTAATAAAATACTGTGGCTCGATTATGTAAGTAGAATCGGGTCGCCCAGGCCAGGATGTCACTGTCGACCCAACACCACGGAAACAAGGTCTTTGTGCGCTGAGATGGCAGTGCCTCTCCAACTTTGTACGGTTGCTCGCTATTTATGTAATACGTTACCAAAGGATGGTGATTCCTGGAGGGTCTGTCGCCATTTGCAAACGATGATACGTAGATCATACACGTCAGCCTGCGGTTGTATTTATTTATTTTGATTCCAATTTGTGTCCATTGAGGAAAAATTCCCTATGTAGGACAATACTTGCTATTCTACTGGGGCCCCCGGTGCCCTTTATCCCGAAATCGCGAATGCCCTGATGTGAGGCGTGCCCCCATCAGTCCGCTGTTCCCGCTGGCCGTTTTAGACGCGTGTTTCGTTTATGTATAGTAGAGTTGTGCGGCTTCATCTGGTCTGTATGGTATGTATATTGGCGAGGATGGTACGCGTTACTCGTCCGTTTACACGGATTAGTACAGGAATCTAATGGAGCTTTGTTGACGAAGTTAGTGGGCGGCTGCTTGTCCTACCGCCTGGTGAGTCTCGGTCTCTTCTCCATTTGGTGGGCTGGAGTCCATGTAGGCGAGTGTTTATTGATTATAAGGTTGTGTAGTGTTTGATTATTATGGGAGTTATAGGTGGCGGTGGAGGTACTTGCGTTGTATGTGTTACAGTTCTGCTAGGCGTATCAATTCTTACGTTTTTTGGTTATGGGGATCTCACCGAATGTAGCCTTAAGTCTGCGAGTGCGGTTCACGTATTTGACTAAGTGCAGGATTGCTTCTGGGTCAGTTAGGAGAAATGGGATGGACGAGGCGTCCCGTCCTAGGGCGTTTTGGAGTGAGTGGCGATCTCCATTGTATTGCGGGCATGCGAGTAGGAAATGATGCACTGTCTCTTCGGTTTCTGGGCAGTACGGACAGTGTGGGTGTTCGGACTTGTTGATGCGGTGGAGATACCGATTGAGAGGAACGTGCTGGGATCTGAAACTTAGGAGCATTCCGGTTAGTTTCTTTGGGAAGGCGGCAGTCAACTTAGTGAAGGAGCGGTTGATAACATTGGGGTCAATCGCTTCTTGGACCAGTACCAAGTGGCACCCCGACTAGGACCCCGAAAACCAGTCATCAACATCGGCCTCAACAACGCCAAGGACGCCCTACGGCGGCCTAGACGCCATCAAATCACCCTCAAATCACATCAATCCATCATCACCAAGACATGCCTGGTGACAGGAGAAGTGCCAGCATCGGGTCAAGACCACCTGACCACCGCAACACATCTCCTACCTACGGTCTTAATACCCGCAGAACCACGAGATCTGCAATCTCTCAGAATGACATCGAATCCATGGCCAGCAACGTGAAGGACTCGGAAAGCGGAAAGCAATACCTTATATCGAAATTAATCTGCAATATTGATCAACCATTTACACTGACGCATTTGATTTCAGTTCTATTTCAAATTACTCAAATGTCCAGCACCATCCCCTTGCCAGTAACCTCAGCAATCAGAGCGGTCGCCTTTCTCCTGAAGGACCATGTTGCCTGTGAAATCGCTGATTCCACGGCCACACGACTCACGGACGTGCTCACCCCCAGACTGGTCGACCACGTAATAGCTGCCATTGCCCCGCAAGTTGCCTCTATCCTCACCACCTCCGAAGCCCTACGGGACACGTTAGTCCAAGCAACGACGCTTCAGAACACAATCAATAGGGAGAGAGATGAGCAGGAAGGAGACCTCAAAGTCGCGGCAGAAAGATTCGAAGAAGCAGCGGATCCACTCTACGAATCCATTGAGGACTGCAACAACTCGTACAAGCTCCTCACACCATCCCTTGAATTCACTCAAGATCGTCTCAACAACTTGTCGACCCAACTCTCTCAGCAACCCCGAACACAATCGACCTCACCCACCGTGAACACCGTGAACCCCGCAACAGTCAGCCAAACTCAAACGTACAGTTCCGTAACAGCGGCACACCTGCCCCCATCAATCGATAAGGCCGTCAGCCGTGCAGCCATTCGTGCTCGTCAGATTCTTTTAGACCCATTGCCTGGAGACAATCTTTTCCCTCCAGATACTCCACATGCCGCGATAGTTTTAAAGCTGAAAACTGCGCTGGCCAACATACGCGATAGAGACACTCCCGTTGGCAACATTAAGGCAGTACTGACATTACACAATGGGGGCCTCATTGTAGAACTCGAATCGGAATCGTTGGCAGAATGGCTCCGTCTACCAGCAAGTAAGGAAGCCTTAAAAGAACAATTTGATAATGCAGTATCGTTCCGCACTCGTACCTTCCCCATAGTAGCTGAATATCTCCCCATACAGATCCAGATACATGAAGACACCCTCCTTCGATCGATAGAACAAGATAACAACCTCCTAATAAACTCAATAGTCTCGGCTCGATGGATCAAGCCCCCCACCCGCAGATCCCCAACCCAGCAAAAGGCGTTTGCCCTTCTTCACATTGCTGACCCTCACACAGCTAACCTCATCCTCAAAGAAGGTATTTGTATCGGCAACGAACGAATCTCGGTCCGCAAGGACAAACGTGAACCTATCCGCTGTGCGAAATGCCAAAAGTACGGACATATTGCACGGAACTGCACTGCAACCACCGACACATGTGGCACCTGCGGCAACCAACATCACACATCTGAATGCACCACCTCAAACACCACCAGATGCGTCAACTGCCGCAGCGATCAACACGCCAGTTGGAACCGGTCGTGCCCAGACTTTGCCCGACGCTGCGAACTCATTAATGAAAAATTCCCAGAAAACTCTATGCCCTACTTCCCAACAGAACTCTCCTGGACGCACGTCAACCAGCCTCAACGCTCTCTCCCGTTCACATACTCCAAACCTCAACGCGCACAGTCCCCCCCCGGCATGCTACCTCCCAGCAAACCACCATTCCATTCCAGCCTCGGCCCCGTCCTCCAAATCGAATGCTCTCCCCGCAACGTCCTCAAACTCCGGCTCTCACAGAACTTATGAATCGTCTCTCTTCTTCTCCATTCACACACACTAACACTACTAACTTCTCTTCCTCCCCTCTTAGCAGCCCACTCTCCACTCCATCTAATGTCTGAACACCGTAATGAACCCACCGTCCGACTACGCATATGGCAGCAGAATCTCAACAACTCCATGGCCGCCCAAGCATCCCTCCTCAACAACCCCAACGCCTCCAAATGGGACATTATCCTCATCCAAGAACCTCACATCAATTTTCTCCGCAACACCTCAGCAAACCATCACTGGCACGTCATATATCCTACTCAGCACTACACCCATCTCCGTCAACGTACCCGCGCTATAACCCTCATCAGTACCCGCCTGGACACCAACCTCTGGAAACAGATCCCGCTGCCTTCCTCCGACATCACTCTCCTTCAACTCTCTGGTCCTTACGGCAAATGCACGATCTTTAATATTTATAACGACTGTCGATCCCAATCAACGCTGGAAACCCTAGACACATTCATCGAAGGCAACATCACAACTCTCCGTCCCACCGCCAATGATCATATGCTCTGGATGGGAGACTTTAATAGGCACCATCCGATGTGGGAGGAAATGCGCAACCGACATTTATTTAATTATACTCATGTTAAACCTCTTATTGACCTTATCGCTGACTTTGGTATGATTCAACTACTTCCAGGTGACCTCCCCACACTTCAATCCTCCAGTACCGGTAATTGGACACGCCCCGATAACGTCTTCGGCACAGAACAAATCCTCGACGCAGTCGTCACCTGCACTACTGCACCAGAACTCAGAGGTCCAAAGACGGACCACATCCCCATCCACCTAATACTGGAATTAGAAACGCCTCGAACCGACACCGAACCGCAGCGCAATTGGAGAGAAGTCGATTGGGAACAATTCAATGAGCACCTTACTAACCTTCTCTCTTCCCATCCCCCTCAACCTCTAGCCACTAATGATGAATTTCAGATTGCAGCACGACGTCTAACGGAGGCCATCACCTCCACGATCACAGCGAAAGTACCGCTCTCGAAGCCTTGCCCACACTCCAAGAGGTGGTGGACGAGGGAACTCACCATCATGCGCAAGAACGTCAACCGTCTCAGCCGGCTAGCCTACAAGATGAGGGCACTGCCGCTTCATGAATGTCACAACGAACTGAAGACTCTCAAGAATCAATACGCCGACTGCATCGCATCTACGAAGCAACAACACTGGACAGACTGGCTCAAAGACTTAGAAGGCAACGACATCTGGACCGCCAACCGCTATGTCACGTCTGATCCTAAGGATGGAGGTAAAACACGTGTTCCCACTCTCATTGTCAAACGACAGGACGGCTCCTCCGTCGAAGCCTCCACCAACCATGAGAAAAGCCTACTAATTGCCGAAGCTTTCTTCCCCCCTCCTCCCGCTACTAACCATATACCCCCAGACTGTATATACCCAGAACCTATCGCACCACACACTCCCTTCACCACGACCCAAATCTATCGAGCCATCGCTAACCTAAGTGGCTACAAAGCGCCAGGACCCGATGGAATCTGTAATATCGTATTCAAGCGCTGCTCGCTCACCCTAGTCCCACATCTCGTTCACCTCTTCGACGCTGTCTTTACTCACAAAACCTATTATGAACCTTGGCGCCGATTTACAACCGTAGTCCTCCGCAAGCCCGGAAAACCCAGCTATGCTGTACCCAAAGCCTACAGACCTATCGCACTTCTCAACACCACCTGCAAACTCTTAACGGCAGTAGTCGCCGAGCAACTAACATTCATTTTAGAACACCACCATCTACTACCGAATACCCACTTCGGAGGTAGACCCGGCCGCTCAACTACTGACTCTCTGCATCTTCTAGAAGCAACCATCAAAGACGCCTGGCGCTCCCACCGAGTGGCCTCTGTCTTATTCCTGGATATTGAGGGAGCATTCCCTAATGCGGTCACCCGCCGGCTCCTCCATAACATGCGCATGAGACGTATTCCCGGTGAACTCGTGGACTTCACCGAACGGGTCTTAACGGGAAGATTCACGCAACTCCGATTCGACGGATACACGTCAGAATGGATCCCAATCACGAATGGTATAGGACAGGGTGACCCCCTGTCCATGATTTTATACATAATTTATAATTCTGACCTCGTAGAAGTTGCCCAGCCCAGAGCAGGAAGAGCATCCCTCAAGGAAATGACTCTGGCATTTGTCGACGACGCAGCCTTCATTGCAATAGCAGATGACTTCGAGACTGCGCACACCATGCTCACTGACATGTTAGACCGCCCTGGCGGTGGATTCGAATGGTCACGCCTTCATAACTCCCGCTTCGAAACTAACAAATTCGCACTAATGGATTTTTCTATGAATAGACACAGACCCCGCCCTCCCATGATCATCCAAGGTTCGACCATACACCCAACAGCTACTCATCGCTTCCTCGGCGTCATCCTAGACCAGGAACTTCGTTGGACCGCCCAAGTGGACAACGCTGTGGCCAAAGGCACAGCGTATGTCTGCCAAATACGCCGCCTCTCCACGATGGCCAAAGGAATACCGCTGCACCTCATGCGGCAGCTCTATCAAGCTGTTGCAATCCCGAAGATGACTTATGCCGCAGATTTATGGTTCACGCCTGCTTTTAGAGAAAACTCCGACGTCCTCCAGAGAGGATCAATAGGCGTAGCCAAAAGACTAACCTCCGTCCAGAGAATTGCCACCCTGGCCATGACCGGAGCCATGAACACCTCTGCAGGAGACGTACTCGAAGTCCACGCTAACATCCTCCCCATATCCCTCGCCCTTCACAATATCTGTCACAGAGCCATTGTACGCCTCACTGCTCACCCAGCAACCCACCCATTATATCACCCAGTTCGACGCGCTGCCAAGCGCTATGTATCATCTCATCGCTCCTCGCTACATAAACTCACTCACCTCTTTTCTATTATCCCAGATGACATCGAGACCCTCATCCCCGCACGTCGCCACCCTTCCACGAAAAATCCCTTCAAAACCAATATCGCAACAACACGAGAGGAAGCGGCCATAACACATGGCCACCTGACCGAAACCATCCAAGTCTACACTGACGGCTCTGGCCACAATGACAGAATCGGGGCAGCCGCAATACTGTTCCGGGCAGGAGCCTCACCCCGTGTCCTACGCTTCTACCTAGGCACGAAGGACGAACATACCGTTTACGAAGCTGAAGAGGTAGGACTAACGTTAGCAGCAAAACTAATTGCCACAGAACAGAACCTACAATTCCCAATATCCATCTCCATCGACAACCAGGCAGCAATCCAAAGCGGGGACAGCTTCCGCACACGCCCAGGATCATACCTAGCGGATTGCTTCAGGCGCATGATGCAGAAAGTGGCCAATAACCACGGTGACTTCGACGTTACAATACACTGGGTACCCGGTCACTCAGACATTCACGGCAACGAGGAAGCAGACAAACAAGCAAAGAAGGCCGCAGAGGGCCGTCAGAACAACAGCCCTCGCAATCAACTACCTAATTTCCTTCGCTCAAACTCACTCCCTCTCAGCATCTCTGCCCTCAAGCAAGCACACCATCAGTCCACCCAAAATTGCTGGACGAGGCTCTGGGCCAAATCCCCCCGTTACGCACGCACGCACAGTATCGATCCAAATATTCTACATCGCTCATTCGTAAAACTAACAAAAACTTATCCAAAACGCTTAACAGGTCTTCTCATGTGTTTACGCACTCGTCACGTCCCGCTCAACGAACATCTCCATCGCATCAACAAATCTCCCACGTCATCATGTCCTCACTGCCCAAACGTCAATGAAAATGTACACCACTTCCTCATCACATGCCCCCATTATCACCATGAACGACATACCCTCATACGCGCGCTAGGACGCAAAGCCACTTCCATTCCGCACTTACTAACAAATGAAGAAGCCATACCACACCTTACTCGATACGTCAACGCTACAGGAAGAATGAAGTCCACATTTGGTGAAATCTCCTTGTCCCAGCCACGAAAGACCTGACCGTTCCCCGTTCACCCAACAGAACCAAAACATTATGATACCCCCCACTAACTCATCCCCACACGACAAACGACCTACTATAACTCCGCCTAATCCTAAAACACCCTCAACTACCCTCAACATATAATACACCAAACCACACCTAACTCCTCGCCTATACGGAATCTAAGCTCCCATTGGACTCAGCCAAATACTAGCGGAACCGGCCCTTCGTCACCAGAGGCCACCTTTCCTAACCATACCTACTATTTAGCACCCAATCAGATACCTATACCAGTTGCGCAAGCAACCGAGAACGCGTCCAGACGACCCCTACTCATATTAGCTATATCACTGCACGCAACATATTTAAAAGTCACCTCTCCTTCGATAGATAGCATGTCTAAAACGCGCGGCGGGAACGGCGGACCAGTGGGAGTACGCTCCACACTGGGGCATTCATATATCTAGAGGCGCGGAGGGGGCACTGGGGCCCCCAAGACTAGTTAGCATTGTCTTACATAGAGTACTACTCTCAAAGACAAAAAACTGGAATTAAAAAAAAATAAAAAAAAATAAAAAATAAAAAAACATTGGGGTCTATGTTCTGGATGCGGTTGAATCTTGGGGATTTGGCCCACATTCTCCTCCATCTGGAGTGTGTCTCTTGTCGGTGGGCCTGTTTCAACGCAGATATACTGAGTGGTAGGGTGCCGTGCCTCAGGTACCTGGGCAGGGTTTCCCTTGCGCTATTGTTGGTTCGGCTTGTTGCTGCGAGCTTTGCTTCCTTATCGGCCATTTCGTTCCCGTGGATGCCTTCATGTCCTGGTGACCATCTCAGGGTGACGTTGAAGTCTGGGTGGCATTTTGCGATGGCTCTCATTTCCCTGTCAAAGTAATCTGCAATATATGATCCTGGGCGAGCGGTCATGTTCTCACCGGCATTTATGGCTGCCTGATTATCGATTGAGATTGAGATCGGGAATGTTAGATTCTCCTCCGTTGACAACAGTTTGGCGGCTAGCGTCAATCCTACTTCTTCCGCTTCAAAGACGGTATGTTCCTCGTCTTTTCCTAAGTGAAATCTTAGTACTCTTGGGCGAGATCTTGCACGGAATAGGACTGCTGCAGCGCCAATATTATTCTTGTAGCCTGAGCCGTCGCAATAAATCTGTATGTCGTCAGTGAGTTGTCTGTGTTCCTCGATCGCCGTCATCCTTTCTGTAACTCTGACTTTGGCGGTTGTATTTTATGAGCAGTGTATTATATCCACGGCAAGGCAGTAATGAGACAAACACCAGATAGTATGCGAAGCTTTGAAGAAGTCCTGTCAATTTCTGTGACCACTGATTGATCATGCGTTCTAAAGTCCTCTTCATGCCCTTGGATCACTACAGCCAATTTTCCTATAATTCGCAAAATTAGCTATTGGCTCGCCCACACAGATATCACCGACTGCGATCCTCGAGTTGGTCGGATGTGTACTTTGCGCCGCCTTATGTTCTCGTTCAGTTCCTCGTGGATTGCATCGCTCAGGTTCGAATATCCAGCATCGTTTTGCCACACCAAGGATTAGGTGAGTATGCAACAAGCCTTGTGGCGAGGAGTCGTGTAGATAGATGGATTGCCTGAGAGACCTGGGATAGTCACGTTCGTTGGGGGATTCAGCGTGTCTGGGAGAGAGGAAGATGGAAGAAACATACGGCTATCAGCTCTCCCGAACGATGGAGTAGGATTGACGGTCTATTAGTTGAGGATGCGAATGGATTTGGCTTCAAGCTAAGCTGTTCGGCTGTGAGCCTGCGTTTAGTAACGGTATCTTGAGAAGGCCAGACTGCTCACTGCGGCAGGCTCCTTTTTGAGCTTAATTCAACCTGCGTGAACTGCTAAGGTGGTGCATGGTACTGGGGAAGTGAATTATATAATCACGATCGGATGATCGGAGTATGTACATACTGTATGCTTCCGGAAGGTGCATGCGTCTTTCACGTACGGAACTTCGATACCCAAGTGTGCCATGTCAAGACGAAAAGACGATGAGTCACTAGTCAATAATTATTATTATTTGATCACATGCAGTTAGTTTCAACATTGGACACGACCAGTACTACGGTCATGAAATTTCGAAAACTCAGCGCAAGCGTAGTCACTAATCAACCAATAGAGAGTTACTCGTTAGGCTTCCCTGCCTGGTGTATCAGGCGCCGGGATGCTATGCAGTTTCTCACCGTCGACACCAGTGGCTTGCAAGGCAGGCAGAGACGCTCACTCGGTAATCGACTGAAACCCAATGGAATACAGTCCAGGATCTACCACACGACTTCAGCCTGAGGTGATGCCATCCAAAAGCCCAAAGTCAAGAAAATCCAAAAACCCAAAGGCAAGAAGGAACGTCTTTGGGCGTCACTGTTTGATCTCACATCACGATAGAAAAACTCACATACTAAACAACCCTCTTCTGAAATCAAGGAGTCCCGGCCGAAAATATGAGCCAACTGCTGGATGTCACTATAGCAGGCATCAGTGCCTTACAAATCGTCGTGCCTAGTGACCTGGCGAAAGGTGTACTCGGAACAGTCGCCAGTATTCTGATGACTGTGCAGGTGCGTCGGTGTCACTCTCGAAAATGAGTTTAAAAGATCCTTACGTCCGTGCAGTCGGTGATCAAGAACAAGTCCGATTTCCGGGCGATAGTCAAGAAATGTGAAACCATCGGGGAAATCCTCAAGAGAGCAACCAAGGACACCACCGACGACAACCTTCCAGGATACTTGACCCATGCTTTATCGGAGCTTAACTCGTAGGCAAACCAAATTTCACTGTCGCTAGAAACTGACAACGCTAAGCAGGTTAGTTAACGATATCAATAATAAGGTAGTCTCAAGGAAGAAGCAAGGATGGTTCAAGAGGATCTTATCTGTCACGATTGATCGCGACCAGATTGATAGTTGGGAAAAGGACATAGACAGTTCCCTCAAACTCTTCGATGTACGTCTCTGTGACTCGACCTGAACTTCTGCTGCTGAATGTCATCTCAAGACTGAAGCGCTCGTTGGCATTGCCACGAGGGTGGAAGAGCTCCCTGGCATTACCACGAGGGTGGAAGAGCTCACTGGCATTACCATGAGGGTGGAAGAGGTCGTTTCGCGAATCGACAGCAATCTAACCAGTGTCAACGTTCTAAAGTAAGTTGTCATGTTCTGCGGGTTGCGGGTGTCCTTTAAATGCAGTCAGGTATCAGCCAATTGAGCCTCCATCGAGACCTTCCATGTTTTATGGCCGCGATGATCTCGTGGCGGAGTTGACGACCCTCGCCGTCAACGGTGAACACATTGCATTGATCGGTCCCGGAGGTATGGGAAAGAGTTCTCTTGCCAAAGCCATCCTTCACGAGCAGCTTATCATCGAAAAATTTGCTGATCGGCGCTTCTTTGTGGCTTATGATGACCTAGATCCTTCGACTATCACATTCGAAACTTTCACGACTCATTTCGCGGGAGCCCTTGGCATAGAGATTACCGGCGCTGATCCTTTGCGCCCAATATCTACCTTTCTTCATTCTGCTAGCGCCCTTGTTGTCCTCGACAATGCCGAGACCTTCGAAGAGGCCAGTGCGTTGTCAGCGCTCGAAAAAATACCACCGGCAATCGCGAAGATTGCAGACATCCGTGGTGTTATCCTGATCCTCACGTCACGTAGTCGAAGGAATGCAACAGATGTGTTGTGGAGAACGATGGACATTCCGCCATTGGACTTGAGTTCTGCAGAAAGAGTATTCTTTCAAACTTATCCTCGCGCCCGTTGCAGCGATGCCGAGGAAGAAATAAAGGACCTACTCAGTGAATTGGATTTTCACCCCCTTTCCATTAATTTACTCGCACACACTGCGCGGCAAAATGACTGGTCTCCAGCCACACTACTGAAGAGATGGAACGACCGGCACACTGCCGTGCTCAACCCCGGCAAGGGAAAGCTGCAAAGCTTGTCAGACACCATGCAGCTGTCACTCAACTCACCATCAATCCAAGCTCTTGGCGAGGATGGTCGTCGTACTTTAGCCATAATCGCCTTCTTGCCTCAGGGTCTCAACGACAACCTGGCTGGCAATCTGTTGCCATCGCTCAAACAAGTCAACAATATATGCGATGTTCTATGCATACAATCTCTTGTTTATCGTCATGAGAACTTCATCAAGGTGCTCGCACCCATTCGACATTGTGTGCAAGATTCCTTGCCATTAGTACCTGACTCCACATCTTTGCAAGAGATACGCACCTTCTACTATCACACTGTCGAGCAGTGTTCGGAAGAACAAGACAGTCATGCTAATATCATTGTCTCGGATCACTTCAACATCGAGCGTGTCGTTGCTTTCGATCTCGCCCATATCCCTGAAGAGACTTATCGCGCTTGTCCAAAATTTTTGTGTTGCTTGAAGTGGCACCTTCCTCGCCCAACTACCCTTACCCCCGCTATTTTCAATGTCGTCGAGAACTCCCCCACGTATGAGTTCAAAGCATACTGCTTGTGGAATCTCGGCTGGCTCTACTTCACTCTCTCCCAGCTCACAGACGTAATGAAAATTTTTAAAGCTGCTGGGGCACTCTTTCTCGCCACCGGCAACCACGAAATGGTGGCGGAATGTGTCCTCGAATGTGCAGACCTATGCAGATGTCAAGCTCGCTTCATTCAATCCCAACAGCTTTTAGAGGGCTTCCAACGCTCCGAGTCGTGGGAGTATCTCAGTAAACCAACGAAAAGCCGAGTTTGGTTTTTCTTGGATAATGCTCGGATGTATAGATTCACAGCATCTGCGGACGAATTATTTGTGAAGTCCTTGGGCTTGAAAGATCACCTCTATGGGTTGTCGCCCAAGATTTGGCACTGGCGGGCCAAACTTTACTACGGGGGAGACATTGTCCAGGTGAACGAGCGCTTAGAAAACCTTCTCCTACAATGCACATGTACACAAGTCTGCTTCGCCCGCTGCGGCGCACTTGAGGGGCTTGCAATGGTGACATTTTGCGAAGGCAGGCTATCCGAAGCCATGGATATCCTACAGAAAATCGTAGATATGTTTAAGGGAGAACGTTCATTCTATGCCTTGTGGTATACCGTGTTGAAGGCTGTTGTTGCAAGCAGGCAGGGGGATCATGCCCTTGCGAGGGAGCTCATATACAAAGTCCCAGAATCCCTCCAATTCCTCGAGCTGCGCAGTGCATTCGTATTTCTCCACAGATCTTATGGGGCGGCATGCATCGAGCTCGCTGCGGGCGCATACGACAATGCCGAGTCCCATTTCATAGCTGCCATTGAAGGCTCTGATATCCAAGGACATCTTGATTTCAAGGCGTATAGCAAACGGGGACTGGGGGAGATTGCCTTTGCACACGGTGACTTCGCGTTGGCTGCACGATGCTTCACAGAAATTCGGTCTTTGTGCACTGAGATGGGAGTGCCTGAGCGACATTTGTACAGTTGCGACCCGTTCTATGTCCTGCCAGACAGATTTTGTGCATGGTCATTATTTTTGGAGGGTCAGTCGCCATTTGCGAACATCATGTAGATCAATTACATGTACATTTAATAACAGCCTGTCATTGTATCTCGGACGATTGTACGAGTAGTTTCATCATGATATAGTATCTATGTGACGAGACGAATGCTTACGCGGGAGATGAGTGAAGCGAAACGCATGGAACTTCAAGCGTTTACTGAGATTGCTGTGACACGGGAAGGCTGTGATACAGATGTGTTACATAGAGAACGCGTCTGTTCTTATCACCACATATCTCACTTCCACTTTATATATATGGTAGTGCGCGAGCTGGATCTGCGACATCTCCTCAGATCGAAGGTTTATGAAAAAAACCCACGATAGGTAATTGCTAGTCTCCCATATAAGCTAGACCAACAGAGAAAAATAGTCGAAAGGCGATAACTACGCACAATTAATTTATCTCATCTTCTCCGACTGTGAGCTCATTCTCGCACGCGTCACGTAGGTGCCATCCCATGAATCGCATCGGCTCGTCTGCACCTTTAAGTCGATGATGATCCTCTAGCCTAAATGTAGTAGGACAGAGTAGATGCTATTCGACTTATGTCACGATGAATAAGGTGCACGCGTTTCAATGCCGAAAGCTGGCACGCAGAGGGTTAGGCTTATAGGTAAATGATACAGTGAGAAAACACGTACCATTTGTACAGCCCGCTGAGGAGCGATCCTGTTTCACACTGCCTCAGCTTGTCCGCGGATATCACCTATGCTTGGCCCCAATATTTCCGTTGGGAGATACTCAACTGAAGGCCTACACCAAAGGGGTAGCTGGATGGTTGCACGAGGTTCGAACTTGACGCGGGATTCATGTCACAGCAGTGCGCGAGACTTCTTTACGGCTAGCACCGCCTGACCATCATTCTGTTTTTGACCTGTGGCGTGAGGCAATATTAAGTTCAATGATGGGAATGTGCGAAGATTAAAGTACGCACCCATTCTAATGCGCAAACCAAGTACTGGGCCAGGCCATCAGGATTTGGCTGAAGCATCGTCCTTGATAACGTTTCCTGGAATAATTAGTGATGCAAAAGCCAATTGAAACCTTGGAAGTTTAAGTATGAGTGAAGTAGCATGAATCGCAAATATCAGTGATCATGTTGTTGGCTGTATGGATGATGTAGTATCATAGTATGCATGAAATTCGTGACGAGCATGGCAGTACACAGAAAGCTACCACGTGGCTAGAGTCATTCCGTGACCTTGGATGTTTGCCACATACATCGCCGTCTCGTCCAAAATAATGAGACCAGACTTCGTAAACATCAGCTCGGCCGTGGTGCTGTTTAGATAGAACTTCCCAATGAGCGTGCCTTCCACATTCCAGACATGAATACCATCGCCGCAGCCGGCATAAACGTTGCCCTTGGTATCAAGCTGAATGCCATCGGGTGCACCAGAGTCGCTGTAGGCGAACACTCTACGATTCATGAACGACTGCGTCGTTGGGTCGACGTCGAACTGATAGCTTTAGAATTCGCTTGAGTATCTGATTACCATCGTTGTAGGTGGGAAAACTAACATTGTGGCCGGAAAAGTCTGATTTGTCCCGGGGAAGGATCCAAGAATACCAGTGTCGGTGCTGATGCATTATTCTAATCCACAAACACGAGAGAAAAAAAACCAAACTTACACGAATGCAGTTTTGCCATTTGGCGTGAACGCAATACCATTCGGGTGCACAAACCGGTCAGCGACAACTCTGACCTGCCCAGTCGATGGATCAAAGCGGTATACTTGTGATGGTAACATTGGTTCAGGACGGAAACCGTTTAGCCACCCAAAGCTGGAGAAGCCATTAACATTGGAGATATAATGATCTCATAGATTGCTCACGCAGGATCGGTGAAGAACATGATGTCCGTGCCAGGGAGGATTTTGATATCATTAAGCGAGTTGAACTGTCTGCCCAAGAAGTTGTCCAGAATAACAGTGGTGTTATAGGGAGGGCTAGGATTGACGCGAACAACAGAAGGCGGAAGCAAAGCGCGGCCTGAGGTAACGAACAGAAGGTCTCCCTTGTATGGGCCTGTTCCCCCGTTGACCATTTGGACATTATCGGAGAGGTTGAGCTGAAAGTCAAAATGGTTAAGCATCAATGGTCAAGTGGGAGAGACCCACTGTTTGAACCTGGATATTGACATTTCCAGGCGTAGAAGTCAGCGCCATGTCGACTTCTGTCATGTTGATCATGCTAACAACGCTGTTGTTATACCAGCCATTGTACCCAAGTGCGCCACCGTCATTGCTTGCAAAGAAGACCAAGTTGAGATCTGGAACGTAGATGGGCGCTTCATGGGCAAAAGCAAAGCCAGGATTCGAAGCAATTTCGCGAATGGTGGCAGATGGTCCGGTGACATCGAGGAATGAAGAGTCAAAGGCCTGAATGAATGGGGGTGCACTGTTGGTGGGGTTAAAACCAATAAGGGACGAATTGCGCCATTTTGTGTAGTTTGCTCCCACAACATTGTATTGTAAAGGGTCGATGTACTGGGAGGGCAGACGTTTAGATGCAATTTAGCACTACACAATTGCCATTGTTGACGTACGACTGCTCCAGGCGGCGACGCTCTTATGGACGACGCGGCAGCAAGGGCGATAGCCAGAATCGCACCAACTGCTGATTTCGTCATTGTTGATGAACTATTTCCTGGCAAGTCTGGTTAAGTTCTATGACAGTCAGACATCTCACTTTTAGCATAGTCTTTATAGTGATACCAGGAAGGCTCTGAGTACAGTCCGTATCGGAATGTCAAGGATGGCCGGTCAAAGTCAGATGTCATGAGTAAGTACAAAGTTATATTGATAAACCGACCATGTGCCAGTATAACATAAGTTACGTACCGCATGACACCACACAAGATCAAGAGAAGCCTCTGTGGTTTGCAGTCTAAGATTTGGCACTGGCGGGCCAAACTTTGCTACGGTGGAGACATTGTTCAGGTGAACGAGCGCTTAAAAAATCTTCTCCTACAATGCACAATTACTCAAGTCTACGCCCGCTGCGACGCACTTCAGGGGCTTGCAGAGGTGGCATTTTGCGAAAGCAGGCCATCCGAAGCCATGGATATCCTACAACAAATCATAGAGATATTCGAGGGAGAACGTTCGGACAATGTCTTGTGGCATACTGCGTTGAAGGCCGTTGTTGCAAGCAAGCAGGGGGATCATGCCCTTGCGAGGGAGCTCATCTACAAAGCCCCAGAATCCTCCCAACACTTCGAGCTGCGCAGTGCATTCGTATTTCTCCACAGATCGTATACTGCGGCATGCATCGAGCTCACTGCGGGCGCATATGACAAGGCTGAGTCCCGTTTCATCACCATCATTGAAGGTTGCGATATCCAAGGACATCTTGATTTAAAGGCGTATAGCAAACGGGGACTGGGGGAGATTGCCTTTGTGCATGGTGACTTCGCATTGGCTGCACGATGCTTCACAGAAATTCGGTCTTTGTGCACTGAGATGGGAGTGCCTGAGCGACATTTGTACAGCTGCGAGCCGTACTATGTCCTGCCAGACAGATTTTGTGGATGGACATTATTTTTAGAGGGTCAGTCGCCATTTGCGAACATTATGTAGATCATATACATATGTGTACATGTAACAACAGCCTGTCATTGTATCTCGTATGATTGTACGAGTAGCTTCATCATGATATAGTATCTATAACAAAACAGTGATGAGACGAACGCGGGAGATGAGTGAAGCAGAACGCATGGAACTTCAAGTGAATGCTGAGATTGCTATGACACGGGAAGGCTGTGATACAGATGTGTTACATAGAGAACGCGTCTGTTCTTATCATCACATATCTCACTTCCATTTTCATATGGTAGTGCGCGAGCTGGATCTGCGACATCTCTTCAGATCGAAGGTTTATGAAAAAAGATGACAAAAACTCACGATAGGTAATTGCTCGTCTCGTATATAAGCTAGACCAATAGAAGAAAATAGTCGAAAGGCGATAACTACGTACAATTCATTCATCTCATCTTCTCCGACCATGAGCTCATTCTCACACGCGTCACGTAGGTGCTATCCCATGAATCGCATCGGCTCGTCTGCACCTTTAAATCAACGGTGATCCTCCAGCCTAAAAATGTATTACCCAGGTTCATGTTTGCAGTGTTGGTTCACCACTGCAAATATTTGGGAGAGGTTCAGGACATTGGCCTCGCGTCGAACCTAGGAGTCCGGTCGATCGGTGTGGTGTTCGAGTGGGATGGAATAACACGTTCGTCGGAACTCGTGACCTCAGCTGCAACTCCGGCAACGATATGGAGGTGGCGGGAAAATAGGCAAAGCACATATGGCTATCATATTGCCCATGAGAACAATGAGCTCAGTTAATGGTACGAGAGTTGAGAATATGAATGGATTCTCAAAGTTCAAGTTGAGCTCGAGATGGTGCTACCCGGCCGGCGTCGTAGCGTTGCTGTCACAACTCGATGTGACATGCGCGTCTAGTAGTATCACATGATGTGACGCAATTCTTTTATTTTGGCCCTAAGCTTGACTCTCGTCTCGATTCTCGAACAACTCTCGAAAGGTTGAGATCTAGACCCCATGATAGACGCTGGTGCGTTATCATGCATGCTGTGCAGTTTCTTACCCTCCAGTGACTTGAAGCAGGCGGAGGCATTTCACTGCATGACTGAGACTCGGAATCCACCACACGCGTCCACTGGCAGGTGATGAAGCCGAAAACAAGAAGTTCTAAAAAGGCAAAGGCAAGAAGATACGAAGCTCAGTGTCAGCGCCGTATGTTTGATCTGACATAGAACGGCCCAAACGTCAAGGAGCCCTCTTCTGAAACCAAGGAGTCGCTGCAGGACGATGACGCGATGCGACTGTTGGATGTCGCTATAACGGCAATCAATATCACGAAAGACCTCGTACCCATCGATCTGGCGAAAGGCATCCTCGGAACGGTCGCAAATATTCTGATCATTGCGCAGGTGCGTTGACGTAGCCTTTGAAAATGTTCGTGAAGGATCCTGAGGTCTATACAGTCAGTGATCAAGAATCAGTCCGATTTCCAGGCGATAGTCGACAAGTGCGAGACTATCAGGGAAATCCTTGAAAGAGCGACCAAGCATGCCACCGACGACGATCTGCGAGGATACTTGGGCCATGCCTTATCCCAGTTGAACAAGTGAGCCGAACCAAATTCACCTCTGCTACAAACTGACGGTGCCGTGCAGATCAGTAAACCGTATCAATAGTGAAGTAGCCTCAAAAAAGGAGCAAGGATTCTGGCAGAGACTGCTGTCAGTCACGAGTGATCGCGACCGCATTGCTGGATGGGAAAAAGACTTGGATCGTGTCATCCCACTGTTCAGTGTATGTCTCTGGAACTCCTTTAGAGCTACGGTTACTAAATAATGTTTTAAGGCTGAGGTGCTCGTTGGTCTCACGATCGGAATGAACGCGCGGACCTTGGGACTCAAGGACAATGTTCATGGGAATGTCGAAAGGTAAGTTGTCATCTCGGCGAGCGTTGTGTATCTGAAGGCAATCAGGTATCATCCACCAGTGCCCCCATCACGTCCCTCCATGTTTTATGGACGTGAGGATCTCGTAGCGGAGTTGACGAACCTTGTCGTCAATGATGAACATATCGCGTTAATCGGTCTTGGAGGCATGGGGAAGAGTTCCCTTGCCAAAGCTATCATTAACGAACCATCTGCCATGGAGAAATTTGCTGATAGGCGCTTTTTCGTGACCTATGATGGCCTTGATCCTTCGACCATCACTTTTGAGACTTTCACAACTCGTTTTGCGGGAGCCCTGGGCATAGAGCTTGCTGGCGCTGATCCTATGCGCCAAATATCTGCCATTCTTCGTTCTGCTAGCGCCCTCGTTGTCCTTGATAATGCTGAGACCTTTGAAGAGGCCAGTGGATCATCAGCGCTCGGAGAGATACCACCAGCCATTGCTGACATTGCAAACATCCCTGGCGTTGTTCTGATCCTCACGTCACGCAGTCGAAGGAATGCACCGAACGTGCGATGGATAACGAAAGATATTCCGCCACTGGAATTAGGCGCTGCTCAAGCAGTGTTTTTTCAAATTTATCAACACGCCAATTGTAGCGATGCTGGGGAAGATATACGGAACCTACTCAAGGAATTAGAATTCCACCCCCTTTCCATCAATTTACTCGCGAACGCTGCGCAGCAAAATGACTGGTCTCCAACCACACTGCTGAAGAGGTGGAACAATCGGCACAGCAAGGTGCTGGACCCCGGCAAGGGGAAGCTCCAAAGCTTGTCGGACACTATGCAGCTGTCACTCAGTTCACCATCAATACAGGACCTCGGCGATGATGGACGTCGTCTTTTGACCATAATCGCTTTCTTACCACAGGGCCTTAATGATACACTGGCTAGCGATTTGTTGCCGTCACTCCCACAAGTCGACATTATATGCGATGTCCTTTGCAGACAATCTCTTGTTTATCGTCAGGATAGCTTCATCAAATTGCTCGCCCCCATTCGGTATTATGTGCGCGATTCGTTACAAGCACTTGACTCCACTTGTTTGCGAGAGATACGTCATTTCTACTATCGCATCGTCGACTGCTGTTTGGAAGAACACGATCACTATGCTGATATAATTACCTCGGATCACCTGAACATTGAGCACGTAGTTGCTTTCAACCTTGCCTACGTCCCAGATGTCATCGAAGAGACCTATGACATTTGCTGGCAGTTTTTGTGGTGCTTGCAGAGGCATCTACCTCGCCCAACCATCCTTACTCCAATTGTTTTCAAAATAATAGAGAACTCCTCCACGCGGGGGCCAAAAGCGTGCTGCCTGCAGTATCTCGGTGCGCTCTACACCACTCTCACCCAGCTCACTGAAGGGATGAAGGCCTTCAAAACTGCTAAAGCACTCTATCTTACCGTCGACGACCATGAAAACGCAGCACACTGCATCGTCCAATGTGCAGATATCTACAGGTGTCAAGGCCGCTTCATTCAGTCCCAACAAGTTCTGGAGGCGTTCCAACACGCCGACTCGTGGACATTTCTCAGCGAAGCTTCGAAAGCCTACGTCTTGTATTTCTCGGATAAGGCCAGAATGTATACATTAACAGCATTCATGGACGAATTATTTGTGAAGTCCGGAGAAGATCGCGACTGGGGCTTGCCATCCAAGATTTGGTACTGGCGGGCCAAATTTTACCACGGGGGAGACATTGTCCAGGCGAACGCGCACTTAGAAGACCTTCTCTCGCAATGCCCAAGTACTGGGGATCTCTTTTCCCGCAGGGACGTACTTGAGGGGCTTGCACAAATTGCATTTTGCGAAGGCAGGTTATCCGACGCAATGGATATTTTACACCAACTTGTAGAGATGTTCGAGGGTCAATATTCGGATGGTGTCCTTTGGTACACCGTCCAGAAGGCTATTGTTGCGAGCAAGCAGGAGAATCATGACCTTGCGAGGGAGCTCATCCACAAAGCCTCAGAGCCCTTCCAATTCTTTGCCCTGTGCAATGCACGCGCATTTCTCCACCGATCTTATGGCTCCGCACTCATCGAGCTCGCCGCAGGGGAGTACGACAAGGCTGCGTCTCAATTCACCGCCACAATTGAAGGTTGCAACATGCAAGGCAACCTGCATGCGGAAGCATTCAACATCCGTGGACTGGGTGAGGTTGCCTTTGTGCAAGGTGACTTCGTTTTAGCAGCACAGCGCTTCGCAGAAACACGGTCTTTGTGCGTTGAGATGGGAGTGCCTCCCTACCATTTGTACAGTTGCTTGCCATTCCATGCTTTGTCGAGCAGATTCGAAGGGTGGGGGTTGTTTTTGGAAGGTCGTTCGTCATTTACAAATGTTATGTAGGTCATCGTATGTGATGACTATGTGGTATACTGTATCCCCACATATTCGGATTGTGACACGTATCATAGGTACCAAGTCTCTTCTTAACAAAAGAGAACCTGGTCAAACAGGTCCGAGGCTGAGGTTGAACGTCTTCAATGCTTCCATCTGTCGATGTTTTGGTGATTCACCACAACTATCTGTAGGACCAAGGATGGCATAGATAGCGTCGTGTTCGAAACGATCGAACAACTTCATATTGACGTCTGCATCTGCCTGTCTCAGAAAGCAAGAGCAATTTGTTCGTGAATTTCGTGAACAACCAATAGCCATTAGAACCCGCCATTATTCTGCAGTGGTAAAGCTCCTGGATGCATTCATCCAAAGTGATGCGCAATCTCACTAGTCATTGTCGGATGGGAGCCAACTTGAAAGTACCGAGGGATACCGTGACAACACGGTGTGACATGCGCTCCAAGTGGTATCACATGACGTGACTACATGTAGTCTCAACGCTTCTCACCCAGCTGCAGTCCGATTGACCGACATTCACAACAATGTTATCAAACAAGCCAAAAGCTAGATCTGATACGTCCAGAAATCAAAAGGTATCAAGTCCTGCATCTTTGACATTACCATAAAATATGCCAAGTAGTCCGACCCCAGGATGACAACGTGATTCAACTTCTAGGCGTCATTATATCGACCATCAGCACTACAAAGTACTTTGCTCCGAACTTCCTACTAACCTGGCGAGAGGTGTGCTTGGAACGATCCGAAATATTCTCATTCTTGCACAGGTGTCAGTGCATTGGCGTAATACTCGGAAACTCTCACAAAGGGATCCTCAATCTGTACAATCAGTGGTCGAAAACAAATCCGATTTCCTGGCGATAGTCGAGAAATGCAAAACTATCAAGAATGTATTGAAAGAGCGACTAATGATACTAGCGAAGACGATCTGCAAGGATCTTTGGGAAATGTGAGCGCGAGCCACAATGATTTCACTGTCGCTGGATACTGATGACACTGTAGATCAGTAAACCGCATCCACGTGGATGTCACAAGCACAATACTTGTGGCATCTCGGTCATATCTACTTTACTCTTCCTCGGGTCAAAAACAACATTCAGGCGTTCCATATTGCTAAGCAACTTGCCGGCAACCACGAGATGACAGTACGTTGCATCGCTCCATGTGCAGACATATATGCATGCTAAGGCTGCTTCATTCGATCCCAACCTCAAGGACCTCTAGCACTCCGCTTCATAACAACATATTAGCATAACAACAAAAGCCAGTGTTTGCATAAGGCCAATATGTACACTTCCATAACATCTGCGGTCAACTTCTTGAACGAAGGTGTCTGGGGTTTGTGGTCCAGGATTTGCCACTGGTGGGCCAAATACTACTATGGAGAGACATGCAGGCCAAGACGCACTTAAAAGACCCTTTGCAGAGCCCAAGTACTGGGGATCTCGACGGAAAGCGCTGAGACGCTTGTAGAGGTAGCGTGTTACGGAGGCAGGCTATCTGACGCGATACATCGTCTGCACAAAATCGTAGAGGTGTTGTAGGGACAGGATCTCTACGTTGCACTTTGGTATGCCGTCTGGAAAGGCGTCGTTGGGAGTTATCAGGGCCATCCTGGCCTTGCGGGATAGATCATCCACAAAGCCTCCCAGCCCCTCCCATTCTTTGCCCTGCTCAGTACAAGCGCATTTCTTATGGCTTGGCATGCGTCAAGCTCAATGCAGACGAGTACGACAAGGCAGCATCGCATTTCGCCGTCACCATTGAAGGTATTCAGCATGCGTAGGTTGGGAAAATTACCTTTGAGAAGTGACTTTGCCTTGACTGCGCACTTTGCAGAGACACGGTATTTATGGGGAATACCTCCAAAAAATCTGGCATGGGATTCAACACACTATCGAATGCCATGCCCTGATTTCTTGAAGGGTGGTCAATGTTTTGTAGCTTAGAGGGCGTTCACCATTTACGAACGTCGAGTAGATGATATACCGCAAACCACAGGCTGCAGTTGGGCACTTGAAGTATCTTCGATCTACAATGTGTACTGACAAAAACTACCCTTTGTAGAGTATGGGACAGCTACTACTTCTTGTTGAGTTCCTCGGCCCTTCTATGAAGTTCTTCACGACTCTATGCATAAACAACCATAAGCAAGGGGTGTGATGTTCAAAATGTATCTTAACGAACCAATGGGGCTTCGAGGCCATTGACGATGTCCTTGCTAGGCACATGCGGGTCTCGAGCGTGGTAGGCGTGGAACTCAGGCTTACTTGTCAAACCCGCGTCACGCCCAACCAAGTCTGCTGGGTCGTTAGATTTCTGGATCAAATGATGAGCAAAACTATAGCTAGAAAGCGAAAACGGCTGCATACAGCAGGGTGAGGAAGGATGTTGAATTGTTGCTCCTGCTGTCCCTGTTGGCGACTGTGTGACGTTGTGGTATCTTTCGTTTGTTGGGACATTTGTTAGAGGTAGTAGTGGGCTATGGTAGTAATTGTAAAGGAGCACAATGCGCAGCTTGACCAGCTTGACTCCCCTATATACGCACCTGCGGAGCTAATTATACGGATGACATCATTCCACACGTCACGCGTCACGATTCAAAAGATGAGAGTAATCCTGATTGACATTATGTAGCAATTGAACGTTGAACATGCAACTATTTCTGCAGACCGAGTCACTTGGGTAGAGTAAGTAGAATGCTGAAGTAATGTTTATTGTACAGGACGCATTCCACATCATTTCGATAACATCATCTTTCGAAAGGTCAGGTCTCTGAAATTGAAACACTATGAACGAAATGCTAACCTTCACAAATTCTAAACCGATGCGAAACAATTTGCATGTGAGTACAAACAAGTACGATACAAAAAGGAGACGAACCATCGTAATTGATCTGGCCATCGCCATCGACGTCTGCCTCACGAATCATTTCATCGACCTCAGCGTCAGTCAATTTCTCGCCTAGAAATGGCATCAATTTATAATCGGCATCTAAGCATCACCACTGACCCAGGTTCGTCATGACATGTCTCAGCTCGGCAGCGTTGATATAGCCGTTCCCGTCCTTATCGAATACTTTAAATGCCTCTTTAATCTCTTCCTCGCTGTCGGTATCACGCATTTTGCGCGCCATCATTGTGAGGAACTCTGGGAAGTCGATGGTACCATTCCCATCAGCGTCAACCTCGTTGATCATATCCTGTAGCTCCGCTTCGGTAGGATTTTGACCTAGCGAGCGCATCACAGTGCCGAGCTCTTTGGTAGTGATCGTGCCATCACCATCTATATCGCTTCAGATCAGTGAAGTAATAACCGACATCACGTTAAGCCGTACCTTTGTCAAACAAAGAGAAAGCTTCCTTGAATTCTGTGGCGGGTAAATGAGCGCTGGGATCATCAGTGACAACGCCAGCCAGATTTTCTCACCAGATATCTGTTCTAGAAAATCGCACAAGAGTAACGAAGCATATCAGCACCAATAACGTCTTTGGCCTCCCACCAAGAAAGCATTCGCACCTTCAGACTGTGGGCCGTTACCGAATCGATATTAATCAATCCCATCGGAAACCCACACGTGACAGCGCGACTCACCAATTGATCCGCCATATTCTAGAAAGCCACGAGAGAAAACTTTGTTGACTATAAAAGAATGCAGCGATTTGGCAAAGAGGATGACGGGGGTTGGTGATTGTCGTTGAGCAGAGCAAAGCATGGCCTTGCATTTGGCCAAGATCATCTCTTCACCGGCAATCGCCAGTGCCAAATCAGGCTAACTATCCCCAGAGCCCACTGCCCAGACTCCAGCATTGACATTCACTTTCGCACGCAATACTGTACCAAAAGATCGAACGATGTCGATGAGGCCATGCACGTGTACGGCCACATGCAACAGTCCAAGTCATGCAGATATGTATTAGAAGTCAGGAACTCAAGACTTCAAGCTTCAAGACTCCTTTCTACTGATTTGCCGAGCTCCGTTTACCTACAGTACTAGTGCTTCGCATGGCCTCACTTGACTGCATAAAGGTTAATCTTAATTATGAATGATGTATAGAAACGTGATTGAAAATAAGTAGCGATATTAGTCCCAGTCATCATCATCGTCCTCTTCATCACTATCACCGAGCCTCTTGTTCCTTTCTAGCAAAGCAGCAGCCAATGCGGCGGTCAGATTCCCGCCTGCGCCACCACCACCAGATTCTTCAACAGCAGGTGCGGGGGGAGGAGAGGGCGTTGACTGAGGACCACCCGTCTTCCGTAGATTTGCCACACTCTGTCCACGAATGGATGCAAGTAGGTCCATGCGACCAGGCTGTGGGGAAGCGGGTAACGCCAATGTGTTTCCTTCCCCATTTGAGAGAAGTGGTGGTGGTGGTGGTGGTGGCGGCGGTGCCGCTCCTGCAGGCGGAGGAGGGGGTGGAAGAGCATTTCCGGATGAAGGTGGCGGTGGGGGCGGAGGAGGTGGTGGAGGCGGAGGAGGAGGAGAATCCTCATATAAAGGTGGAGGGGATGGCGAATTATTGACTGGTGGTCGCGGAGGAGGAGCACTGACTGGTGGTCGTGGAGGAGGAGCACTGACTGGTGGTCGTGGAGGAGGAGTACTGACTGGTGGTCGTGGAGGAGGAGTACTGACTGGTGGTCGCGGAGGTGGAGCACTAACTGATGGTCGCACAGGAGGCGGAGGCGGGAGAACAGCACTCGCAGGACGAACTGGCGGTGGGGGTGGTCCTGAAGATCTTATTGGTTGAGGCGCAGGTGCAGGAGGGGCCCGTTGTGGTGGTTGTGGTGGCGGCGGTGGAGCAGCCCAGGTGGGACGCGATGACGAAGGCGCTGCAGCAGGGGGTAGAGGTGGCGCAGCGGAGACTGGGCGTAATGGAGGTGGAGGGGCATGGGGAGCAGGTGCAGAATCGCCATTGACTGATGTTGCAACACTATTTTGCTGCGTGTGCCCCCTATTTCTAGGCGCAGGTAAAGGCGGCGGCGGCGGCTTCTTCTTGATAGCAGGCTGGGGTGTATTCTGTGCATCACGGATAAAGTCTTTTATGAAATCCATATCCTGGTTGATGACCTCGCGACTAACGCCTGAACCCTCCAGTTCTTTCAGTATGGTGATCCATGAGGGGTCAACGTTACTGGAGTTATAACCCTTCTCATGATCAAAGCCCATGTGTGCAACATGCACAAAGGAACCAGCGGTTGGACCTGAAATCATAGACTTATTTATTCTACCACCCTTGGAAGACTTCTTCTCTGAGGAGGAAGGTTGAACTGAAGTAGAGGTCAAATGTGGTCGACTAGAGCTTCTAAACTACCATACCTTTATCTGCTTTACGGTTGTGTACTTTCTTGTAGAAGGTTTTTGCATCTTTCTCGTCAGCAAAGACAAAGCCAACCATGCATTTCTTGGGTAGAAGTGAGTAATTTTCTTTGAATTGCAAATGCACACTTACATCGCTCGCGAACGAATGGAAGAACGGCCTGTCCTGGTGATACTCGAACGCTTCATACAGTTCGTGTTCCCATATGACACCTCTCGTCCCCATTAAATCAACCAGTCTCAACATGAAGGCATCTTTGGAGTTATCTCGCAGGAAAACGAGTGCACCTTGCAAGCCACCATACGACCACTTGTTTGGCTGCGGATGTGCAAAGTAGATACGAGCAGCAGTAGCGGTGAGTATCTTTTGCGTGGAATCGTCTAGAGTGGATTTCACTTTAGACTTTTCGTCTGCTGAGAGTGCTGATTGAGAGGGCATCTCAGGCAGATCAAAGTAAACGTAGAAATTGGCCTAAGACCTGACCGTCACAATACAAGTGCAACGTGGGAATCTAGCTAGCGGCCTCCAGTGACGGGCCACGGCTGCCTTGGCAAGGCTGCGGCAGGCTATACGCACGACACAGCTGCTTTGCTGTACTCAATCACTCGCCGTCTCATGGACAACCTCAGGCTTGTGGCCAAACTTTTTCCTTGTATGATCAATTACTTGCTTCACATATAAAGTTTCACAAATCGAGAATTCGGACTTCATGTTCAAACTGGCGGCAGCGGGCAGCAGCCGTGCACACGACCACTTTCATTGGTCTGTCTATGGAAGATTAATCTACGCTAGTGCATGCTACTGCGCTCAGATAGCTGTATGTGAACGTCTCGTTATCTTGATGCGCGCAGGCCTCATTGTGGTTGCTGAGACTCTGTCCTTCAAACGTTGGGTTCCGGCTGTCAGACCATTCAGCCATTCAGACCTCGGGTTTAATCGGTGAGTCTGTTTTTTGACATGATCGCCCTTTCCTCCCCATTGAGGCTTGTCAATATATGACAAACGTGTTCAAAAGGGCAGTGAAACATATATCTTGTAAGAACAGGAATTTGTGTACTGGATTTGGCCGTGCACACTGCACACGGTTTACATTATCCTTTTTTTCTCAGATTCAAATCTCCTGGTTTATTTTGTCGCCAATCGTAGACTTTATACCCTCGTCCGTAAAACTGGGGGATGAGTTTCCCAGTCCAGAAATTTACACCCCGCCACAGATTCTAGCAGTCCGTCAAGGATTTACTAGAAGCACTCCCTTCAAGTCAGGAGCCAAGTACGGGCCGACACAGTGGTTTTCATGGCAATCACACGATATCGGACTGATGTAAAGACAGAAGATCCGTCAACGGGCATTACACTCAATGGCGGCGATCACCAGACCCGCACATTGGCCAGTTCATCCTTTTTTTTGCGACTTCTTCTTCCATATCGAGCATATCCTCGTTTCTATCAAACCCTGATGCTCCCTCCGTATCCTTAACAAATGGTGTGTTTATGTTATGTTTCTACCAGTGGAATATGTTGATGCATCTATCACGCTGTGGCTATATGGATGTTAGACTGCATTACTTGCACTGGATACCCTGAAGCAGTCCATGTCACTGCCAATTATCAAACTTGCATCGTAAGCCCGTCTGCAGTAATCAGATTGGGAAAAATCACCCGAATCTAGGACGCGCATAGCGTATGGAGGGAATGTTGAATTGCATGCTGTTGCATCCATGAGGGTAATCCAAACTTAGTTTGACTCGGAAATACTCAACGTACACATTGTTTCGGCCTGAACGTTCGAACCTTGGTCTTTGGGTCTGTATTCTGTATCTACTCAAGGTGCCATTCGGATAGCGTGGAATTACTAACCACCGACTGAGACCACAACATGTACTTAGCTTGATGGTTGTGTCGCGCCGCATAGGTCCGACCTAGGCCTCTCATCCATATGAGACTTTTCATGTTGCATGAGATCTCCGTTCTTCTTAGGAAGCATTCCCCAACAGTAATCACGGTCATGATGGTCTTGGGACCCTTGGCATGTATGATTATGCCGATCATGATGCAAGTAAAACTCTTCTGTTATCTCGTGCTGGCTGATGTCTAGTCTTAGCAAAGTCTCAACCCTGAGGCCTTATTTGGCAATCTGGAAAATCATATTCAAAATTCCTATTTCCAGTGTTCACCCGTTCACCCTTGATAGAAGGAAGATGGTCGTTCATGCAGTTGAGGAACATTCCGGTGCCGCCGAATGGAGATCTGTAGCTTGTTGTCAGCATTCGGAGGGACCGTGAACACCACCATGACAATCACACAAGATGGTTATGTGCTCAGGATTAAGCTGGTTCATCGTAAACAGCGGTTCAACTCATCGATAAATATTCGGATAATTCACTGGTTCTGGCACGGAAGGCAAGTGGTTCTGTATCTTACAAGGCTGGTAATACTAATAAATCTCTAATCTCAAACACCACTCAACGCGATTGCGTTATCTGGACGGACAGACCCTATTATAGAGGGACTTCAGGGGCTTTTGCGTCCATCCAGATTCTGTAAATTTGTCTGGAATCACCGACGCGAATATATCAGTGTTGTCACGCCTTCTGCCAGCGCACCACGGCAACAATGACTCAGACAACCTACAGCGCTGACGCGTCCAAGTATATCACGGTATTCTGCCATATTCTTGGCATTCCCATCATCATCGGACCTTGGTGTTAGTGTGATGATTATCATTTCAGGGCAAGGTACTACACCTACGCGATATAGGTCCTGAGTAAGTCCTGGGGCAGATATTTTCAGATGCCCATAGTGCAGGGCTGTCTTCTGCTCCACTGATACACAGCTCTGCCGATATTTATTTATGAACTGAAGCTCTGGTGATCAAACCTTGGTAGAGTGATACTGCTAAGATATCGTAACGTTCTTTGAGATAATTTAGCTATGTCTAATTATATTGCGACTCGGAAATGTGCCACATCTCCACTGTTGCATGCATGGTCTAAGAAACTCATCAAGCCATACGCCAAGAATCCGCAGCAAAAGGCTGCCATCGAATAGAGGGCTATGCTACATGTCAATGCTCGATCGAGGCGCGCAAAAAAAAACTAATTTGGTGAACTCTGTCACAATCACAAGCTGATCGCATGCAATTCTGCAGATCTACCACGCACATTACGGGGCCCCGCCACGTTCGCGTCTAAAGTTTAGATGGCTGTGGTGTGGTGTAAGATAAATATCGAGGAAAACATTTTGAGAGTCAAAAGTCATCACAATGGAAGGATTTATCGGCAGTGACGCGGAGTGCGTGGGAATCTACCTCTTACCGCATACTACATCGAGCAAACTAAGATGGCGGCTTCCCGTAATATGGCGACTAGGGAGGAACTAATTGTTGACTAGCCTGGCCTAATGGTTGGTCACCACCCTTCAATTAACTGCTTGCGAGTCAATCTAGAGTCCAGGGTCATCTTTGGACCAAAATACACGCTCAGGCCGACCTGGAATGTTGTGAAAGTGATGGACATGCTGCATGATGCATGCCACTGCGCTCAGATGGCACATGAATGTATGTAATTTTCCGGTATCTTGGCGCACGAGGTCTCGTTCTAGTGACTAACTTGAAGTGTGTACTTTGGGCTCCGACTTGGGAAAACTGTCAGACACGTTCAGCTCTTCAATCCTGTGGCATGGGCCAAGGAAGACTAGTATCTCATGGTTCATTTTCATTGGTGAGTTTGTTTTCTGACAAGATTGTTCCGAGCTGGCCTCTGCTATTCATCCCACCATCCACATCGACCTACGACGTGAACTTGTCAATATTCGGCAGGAGAAAAAGTCAAATCGAATCTCATGAACGCGATACTAAAGTCGTAAGCGTCCGTAATACCCGCAAGTTAAGTCTTCATTTCAATGGTGAAGCACAGCAAACTTCTACAAGAACAGAAGTTTTAGTGGGTAAAAGATTTGCCCGTGTATATTGACATCTTGCACTATTCCTTTTTGTTTTTCACAGGTTTTCAATCTCCTGCTCGATTTCGTTCCCGATCGCAGACTCCGAAAAGCAGGAGACAAGCGTTCTGGTAGCGTCAAACTAATCATTCCATTGCTCCGTTCCGATGACACACGCACGTCACGCACATAGTCACTTTTGAAAACAAGGAATGGCTCAGGCGATACCCGAATCTAACCCAATCCTCAGCTTATTGTTTTGTGGAGCTTTGTGGCGTCGACGGACCTGTTCTAGCTTCGCAAAGGTTAGTGTTATTGGTGAGCAGTGACCCGAATCTCTCCTTGACAGACTCTGAACCGATCACCGGAAAAGGTTGTCTCGAGCAGATTACGGACCCTACATTGGTGCCGTGATTGTGACCGCAAGCGTGCACCTGTCTCGACCTATTGGTTTTGCGAATACCCTAAGCGTTTCCCGCTAGACTAGCAGTCTAAAGGAAGAGCGGAACTATATCATGCGCAGGTTTCCGAGCCGTTTATTTATATATTGCTTAATTCAGTCCAGCTAACCCTCGAAGGATCACTGTGTTGCTATAATGACCGCCATAGGGACTTCACATGATTTCACACAATGACCGACGTCATGAACTCCTCGAATTCTCTCAATTATAGATTACATGATTCCCTCCTCGGAGCACACCCCATCAACATATCCACAATTGAGTTAGCACGCTGCATCATGGTTCTGGAATGTTCCCATTGCTAAATTAGACACTTCGCCCATGCACTTTGAATGAAGCCCCACGACCACCCGTATATGTGGGACATGCTGGTCATGAGCTCAGATTTTTGCATATGAAGTCATATGAGTTTACAGCATCCAGCCCCTGATGAGACATGGGATACGGTTCTCCGCGGAACCAAATAAACGTTTGCAGCTGGGAGCCGCCGGGACACTCAACGTTACCGTGTGATCCTGCATTCATATCTGACCCTGCACGGTCAGATAATGTGATTATCATGCATTTCGCTTCGAACGTAATCGCGATCAGGTATAACGTTCTCTGAGTGAGCATATTGGAGACTACGCTGACGGGGCATGGAATTAAAAGGCTCGATATACATGAAGATGAGAAGGACAAGATGTGATAACGGGACAATGAAATTTGCTAACCCTGCAGTATCACCCCTCTATCTACTTCTTAGGCGGATATGATTACGGCCGTGGAAATTATAGACAAGAACTTGAGAAGGGCTCGTTAAAGTCATTGCCACCCACCCCGGTCTTGGCGGCGCGTATGGTACAAGTCAGGTGGTCTGGTCGTCAAAATCGTTCTCGAATGTTGTACAATGAATTGCCGGTCGTGTGTCGTGGGAGCTCGCGTGTGAATCGTTATCATAATCTGTTGGTGTTTTTGCGCTCGGACAGAATGGATCGAGCAGCAGTTAGACAGGCGGCACCTGCCAGTACAACGACCTTAAATGGATGATGGAATTTCAGCGGCTTGAGCAAGGGACTTCGACAATGGAAGCTTACAGAAGCAAAGACAAGTGGTCGGTACCAG